TCCTTCCGCAAACGTGCCTCGCGCAAGTTGCCCCGTGCTTCGAACAGATTGCAGTAAACTGAGGCTGCCGGCGCGGCCGGTGGTGCGTCAGCAACGTAAATCCGGCCGCGGCCAACTGGCCGAACGGCTGTGTCAGATTACCACCTTGGTCCTTTGGAGCAAGGCTCTAGAGCGAAGCTCTATGGGGCTGCCGCATGGTGCCGCCGACCCTTTGCATGCCGAGGATGCGTGAAAAGGAAAGTGATGAGCATCACCTGCATCATCTGCTTCTGGGTGCGTTTTTGGGCTTGTTTTTGGGTCTGCAGCCTTGGGCTTGCAAGTCTGCGGCCTTGCCCCGGTGATGCGGGTGATGCTGGTGATGCTGGGGATGTTGCTGGGAGCTGCCTTCACACACGGCGTCCTGCTGCAGCCTTGAAACACCCGAAAAACACGTGAAAATGCGAGCTTTTACTGCAGAAAAAACCAAGGGAAACGTTTGGTTTTGACATGCGTTTTCCGTGGCAACTGGCCCAGGCGTGCGTGCGTGCGCACGCAGGCGCGCGGGCCTGCGCGCGTGCGTGCGTGCGCGCATGCGTGCGTGCTTGCGCGCATGCGTGCGTGCGTGGGTGAGCGCGCGCGCGCGCGCCGCGTGTGTGTGTGCGTGCGTGCGTGCGTGCGTGCGTGCGTGCGTGCGTGCGTGCGTGCGTGCGTGCGTGCGTGGGTGGGTGGGTGGGTGGGTGGGTGGGTGGGTGGGTGTGTGGGGTGCTTGCGTGACGTGCGAGTGCGTGCGTGCGCGCGACTGGCCCAGGCGTGCGTGCGTGTGCACGCAGGCGCGCGGGCCTGCGCACGTGTGTGTGCGCGTGCGCGCATGCGTGCGTGCGTGCGCGCATGCGTGCGTGCTTGCGCGCATGCGCGCGTGCATGCGTGCGTGCGTGGGTGAGCGCACGCGCGCGCGCCGCGTGTGTGCGTGCGCGCGTGCGTTCGTGCGTGCGTGGGTGGGTGGGTGGGTGGGTGGGTGGGTGTGTGTGTGTGTGGGGTGCTTGCGTCACGTGCAAGTGCGTGCGTGCGCGCGCGTGTGTGTGTGTGTGTGTGGGGGGGTGGGTGCGTGGGTGCGTGAGCGCGTGCGTGGGTGGGTGGGTGGGTGGGTGTGTTGTGCGTGAGTCTGGTGTGTGTGTGTGTGCCTGTGTGTGGGTGCGTGCGTGGGTGGGTGTGCGTGCGTGAGTGCCTGCGTGCGTGCGGGGACATGGCGAAATGACGGGAAATCGATAGAAAATAGATGGGAAATGTGGAAGATGGATGGAAAACTGCGGGAAGATGCTTGGAAAATGGATGTGTGTATGTGTGCAAGTAGGAAATGTAGGTATGTGTATGTTGTTGTTGTTGTTGTTGTTGTTGTTGTTGTTGTTGTTGTTGTTGTTGTTGTTGTTGTTGTTGTTGTTGTTGTTGTTGTTGTTGTTGTTGTTGTTGTTGTTGTTGTTGTTGTTGTTGTTGTCGCTGCTGCCTGCTTTGCCGTCCTTGCAAGAGCTGTGAGGTTGAGCCTGCGCGCCGCCGCGTGTGTGCGTGTGAGTGGGCGTGCCTGAGAGCGCGCGCGCGCGCGCCGCATGTGTGCGTGGTTTGTGTTGTTGTGGCCTAGCCCGGAGGGCTTGCCTTCCGGTATACGGCCGTGCGCCCCATGCCGCCGACCATGCGCAGAACATGCTCCGACCATGCGCATACGTTTTGTGCTGGGCCCACCCTTATAAGGGGTGAAGGATTTGAGGATTCGTTTAAGCTATTTTTGAGGATTTTTGTAGCATCTCCCCGCAGCGTCCAAAAACGAGTAATTATTTTTAAAGGGTGCCTGAAACTGGACTACACCCCCAGCATTGCCAGCATCATCCCGGATGATGCGGATGATGCGATGCATGCTGGCGATGCGAAACAAGGGGCTGAAGGGGAAATGCAAGGAAACAGGAGTGACTGGAAGTGTCAAAGGAATTGCACGAAAATGAAGAGGGCACTGGAGAGAAACCGAGATGCAGGAACATGCAAGGCGAAGGGAACCGGACAGCGGGAACGAAAAGGGAAAGGAATGCGAATAAAGGAGTCTTCAAGGAAATGAAAGGGAGCTAAAACGGCAGTGAAGTGGAAGGAAGTGAAGGGACATGCCAGGAAACTGTCAGGGAAGACATGCAAAGGAACTAAAGTTCAAATCATCCCGAGAACTAACAGGACTTAGAGGGAAAGGAAATGAAAGAACGGGAAGGGGTGCCCGCTGGCCGGCTGTGTCGCGTCAGCGTGTAAATCCGGCTACGCCTCCTGAATTACCATGTCGCCGCTAGGCAATTGGCCTGCTAGCTTTAGCTATAGGGGCTGCACCCTGGCGCCGCCGACCCTCGTCACTTGGTCGTGATGCGTGGCCTAAATCCGGCACCTCTGCCTCACCAGCTCGGGCTTGCGGTTTTGCTTGCCTGTGGGGAAACCCTCGCAAAACATCGCGTATATGCAGGGTTTAGGCCATGTGGCTGACATCATCAGGGTCTGGGTTTAAGCCTGATTGATGCTTCAGCGGGGCTTGGTCTGCATCATCAAGACTTCCTTCCAAAAAGCCTCTCTACCCAAAAAGCACTGTTTTTTAGAAGGTGTCGGAGGGATATAAGCGAGGCTCATTTTCGCGCATTTTGGCGCCAAGCGCTGCCGGGCATGCCGGCGACGCTGGGCCCTCGCTCTACAAAACGCTGTAAATACCGTCAAAAACTGCTGTGCTGAGCGTCCGTTTTGCTTTTGCTGTGGCTGGCTCGCGTGCTGCACGGTCCTTGTTTTTTCTCGTTCGTTTTCGGGCCTTCTGGCGCGCGCGCGCGACCCCAGCCACAAAACGCTGCTATTTACGGTGTTTTGTTGCATTTGCGTTTCCGGGCTGGCTTGCGGGCTGCTCTTCTTGGGCTGCTCTTTCTGGGGCCTCTGGCGCGCGCGCGCGCGCGCGCGACCCCATGTCAGCCTTCTGGGTTGGGGCCCGGCTGGGGCCAAGCAATCTGGCATCCCCGGCATCATCTGGGGTTGGGGTGGGCAACATGCATAACCTAACCAGCCATATCATAGCACAGGATACGTTTCTCATACAAAAAACATGACATGACGTGGCATAACTCCAAAGAGGCGTAGCCGGCTAGAGGCCGCAGGCCCAGAAAATTACTTCACAGTGATAGAGACCCGAACGCTGAAGAAAAAAAAGAATGTAGATGATAAAGAACAGTAAGTGAAATGAGGGGTACTGAAAGTGAAACTCACATGATTTAGAATGAGCAAGACAAACTGAATTAGGTTATTGCGTGTGAAAAAAATGTGGCGATAGTGCATGTTGACAAAACAATTGCTGAACTAAACATGACATCTAAAACATGACCCATTGGCACTATACGAACACGTCAGACAATATTAGGTGAAAGAAATGTGAAGAGAGGATAGTAGTGTTACAATAAAACTCACATGGGTGTTGTCCATTGAATGCTAAATTGTATGAATGAACACGACGCTATTATTTAACATTTGACGGAGAAGACGTACCATCACTCGGAATATCAACAACTGATGAGACATGGCACAACTTAACTGAGCAAAACAATAAAGCAGTATCAATCCTTCTTCGCAACTTGAAGCTTCAAACCAATACAAGTTTTGGAAGCCAAATTCATGGGATAAACTAATGAAATAAATAACTCAGTATTTGGTGAACTTTCTAAATCTTGTACAATATCTAGATATGAACTTGTACTATAGACAGAATGTATGATATGGAGACTTGGATGGAAATTGCAGAAGACTTGCCTCAAATGTTGTCCAATGATTCCAGCGATGGTGAAAGTGAACGACATGGGTTGGTATAATACTTTTAAGATATAACTGATGTTCATGTAAGACTAAATTCCCCATAAACCTTATTAAACAAATGTTCAGTTTGACCATTTAATAACATACATATTAATTACGTGGCAATGACTTAAATAGATACTGCCTCACAAATACAATTAAGAGGATGTCAATTGATGACACAGACAACACTTTTCACTTAACAGCAAAAAACGTACAATCTAAAAAGAAGAACCCAACAAACACACCAAGTTTGTTCAATTGAATTAACACATCGTGAGCATGACCCTGGCATAGCATGTGTAGAAGGTTTAAATAGTGGTGAAATGCAAGAAGCATACGATTCTAACTCGCCTTGTAAAACACGTGCTCTTCGTATGTGATTGAGGAGGGCTCCTGTGATGTTAAATGGTATTTCAATTTCATAAAGAAGATGATTATGACACAAAAGAAACAGGAGAGAGAGGGAGAAAAAGAGAGCGAGAGAGAGAGAGAGAGAGAAAAGCGCTTAAACATTGTAAACGGTGCAGTAAGCGACATATCAAAACTCCACAAACCTTAAAAAATGTAAGATGTTTGTGTTAACGATAAGTTTACGCACTCGGAGCGTACTCGGCGCACTCGGAACACACTCGGCACACTCGGAGCGTACTCGTCGGCGCGTACTCGGTTCACTCGGTGCGTACTCGGCGCACAGAGGGCGCGCTTGTTGTTTGGCAAGCTGGGTTGATGCCATGATGCGCTTGTGTTGAAGGCATTGAACAGACACACGCTTGTTTGGTTGCTGATGGACGTGAGGGTCGGTCTATGGACGAGTGAGGTCTGCTCCAACACCTGCATCTTGACTTGTTGTGCGTTTGTTTTACATTCTGCCCAGCTTCCCTTTCTGCGCAACTTCACGCGTCGTCAACGCACGACAAACATACCGGATTGGCCATTAGATGGAGAACTTGTGTTTTGAAGTAGGGGGTTCTTGTTCAATGCGGGGGGTACAGGGCGGACAGGGGGGACAGGGGGGACAGGGGGGACAGGGGGACAGGGGACAGGGAGAAACAGACAGGGGGACAGGGGGATACGGGGAAAGGGGGATAGTGGGGGGCAAGAGCCGCAGCCGAGTTCACATACGCCGTCAATGCTCCTTACTCCACACATTACAGTCCAAACGCAGCGCGGTCCTGAGTCATAAACTCGGGCCCGGCTGCTGACCGCGCAAAGCTCGCGTTGTGCATGCGGCGCTGCTCGCCCACAGCAGAGTCAACCTCACAAAAACCAAAGCAGCGGCAACGGGGAACAAGCACGTTTGCTCTCTCACTACACACTTGTCTTGGTTGCCGACTGCAGACACCGGCGTCGTGCTGCCTCTTGACAGCGCAATCCAGAAAGGAAGGGCTTCCAACCCCCCAAAACCCGCAACCTCCGTCAAGCAACTAGATATAGCCTTGCTGCTGTTGATTCGGCTTGGCCCTGTGGAGGGTTTTTGGTGCTTGCTTGCGTTTGGTTTGGTCTTAGTTCGCTTGCTTGTGCATCAAGGGAGTATAGAAGGAACTGGGTTGGATTCGCCCGCGCTCCGTTCGATTCGTGGTCGCAGCGCAGTAAACGCAACGCGCTAGTGGGAGTTACGTGTTTGCTACGCAATGCGCCACGGGGGGCTTTGAAAACCCCTGCGCTGGGTTGGTGTCTCACATACGCACACCAGTGACTACTGTAAGTTTAAAGAGTCTACTAAGACCTTTCTTGGAGCGAAGCTCATGGCCAAGGAAACCACACGCGCATATTTATGATGGCTTCCGAAGACAACTGCGCTCAGAGCCACACGTGGGCCACGTCAAGAACAACGTACAAGCTCAACATGTGTGCTTTTGTCCGGGCATTCTTCAACATCTCACATGATTTGCGCGCGCGTGCTGATGTATGTTCTTCTATATCCAGCATCTGAGAATTATGTCCAGCACGGAATAAAAGGATCATGCCTTGCTGCTTTGAACAACTGCTGATTGCCTGCTGCAGCGGAAGAATACCATCCACTGGCAGGCATCGCCCAAACGTTGGGCAAGGAAATGGGGCGCAGCTGGCTCAAAGTCATCAGGCGATTGACAAGAAACTTGGCAATCGCAAAGACCTTCAACCAGCCACTCAGGTTTATATATCTCGGTCGCTTCAGGAAATACGGGAATGGGAGGATTGCCTTGCTCTTACAGAGATCGGCCTCAGCTTCCACGCTTGAATCCAAACAAAATGAGTCCTGGCGTCACATATACAATTCTGCGCATGATTTATGAGTTGAACTCAGCATCTCATACAAACACTTGTCCAAATAGGGAGGAGCAAATGCACTGAGCAGTTCCTTCTGATGCTGGCGACGCTCCAGGGAATACGTTCGGGCTGTTGGACATGGCTGATTACTGGTTTTGGAAAGCCTTGCACGGAGACGAACCAAATATCCAAAGCCCAGAACACGACAGCAAACGGATTGAATGGTTAAAAACTTCTGAACATGGAACCGCCAATCCCACGCAGAACCCAGTCTCATCAAATAAAGCTCAAGCGAAGAAAGATCAAAAGATTTCAAAAGACCATGCGCTCTTGGCCAGGATCAGAATCCAGTTTTCACTCTTATGGCGCGGTTGGCTGAAATCGGGCGTCAACTTCAAGACTGGGGTGACTGCTGTAGCTGTCAACTCCGCACCCTGCCTTGCAGTGGCCAAGCGCCTCCTTAGGAAGTTTCTCTCTCTCTCTCTCTGGCTCCGTCCGAGACGTTGCAAAAACGAGTTTCGGGCTGGAAGGCTGCGGCCTGCACTCAGACGGTGGAAAGGTAAAACGACAAAACGTAGTGAAAGGCCCGCACAGTAGCACGGGATCGGCTGTCTCCGGGTATGGCAGGAAGGTCTGCGCTTGTTCTCTCCAGCTGGAAGCCGGGGTTTCCACAGAGAAGCCTGCGACAAGCTTGAACATCTGGGAATCCGCGCCTATGGCTCAATCTATAAAAAAAATATACGCAATATCTTGGAGCAACTGCGTCAGTGTAGCACTCCTTTTGCACGGGTAGGCTCAAGGCCTTGATCATATGTAGCAAGCGCCACATGTACTGCAAGCTGCACTAGGGTTGTCAAGGCATGTTGTATACTGACACACCTCCTCAAGTTGCACTGTGACCAGTACGCTTTGCAACTTAGGGCTGACCCAAGTTGCGTAGCATCCTGTAACCCGACTGCTGGGTCAGGTCCGTGAACGGCTCATGTAGTTCCAGCGACGCAGCAGCGTCAATCTGTCCCGGCGCCATTGTTGTAGCAGCTTGGGTCCTGTCCTGCGCTGCTCAATGGTCACGTTGAATCCACACGTATCTTGAGCTCAGGTTGTATTCGCTGTAGATCGACCATGGGTTCCCTGTAATCCTGCAGAGGACACTGAGAGTCCTGTTCATAAGGCTTCATGGTGTGTGTAAAGCCGTGATGGATCTGTAGCACATGAAGCAAATAATCTGTTGAACGCTGTAATGAAATGTGAGGAATTTCCTGCACGTCTGGCGCTGCACCTCAATTGATGGATGTGTCATTGAACTGCGAAAACAACCATGCCATGTAGGCAACGCAGGTAACCTGCTTGATGTGGCGTAGCGTCTTGTAGGCCCTGCCGATGTTGGCGACGGACATTGCGCTGAACCACGGATGTACAGACAAACCAAAATGTAATACTGAAATGGCTGCAGATGTAAACCAAACAATGTCCAATGTACAAATGCAACATGTCACGCAACACAGTATCCTAAATGTAAAGGGGGTCGTAAACCCGAGAGGCCAATCCTGGCTAGGCACCTACCCTAAGCTACTACGCCGGCTGATGTAGTAGTGAAACAAACATGTGTGCTGTTGTATGAAGAGGTGTCTCAGCCCAATGCTCTTTGCCTTCGTTGATGTACCTTCTCTCATTGCGGTTGACTTAGCTGCACTGCCGTCTGCGCGTGTGTGTTCTGATGTTGGTGCGAACTTCAAACGCTTCCTTGATGAAGTTGCTGATGTAGAGGCTCTCCTGCGCTGCTGCACCAACTGCGTACAGTTCTGACTCTGATGAACGTGCTACGGTTGTTTGTGTCCTGCTTCCAAAGTGCATTGCTGCCCCAAAGAAGTGTGTTACAAACCCTGCTGCGCTTTTTTCTTGTTGTCTCGCATGATGCCCAGTTGGCATCTGTGTGTGGGTGTTGAGCGGGGTTCGCTTGTCCTGTGTCTGTATCTTTGGTCGCAGGTTGCGTCGAATGTCCCTGATCATGTGTTTGGGCTTCTTGTTGTCAGCCCGTGTTGGCGCTTGTAGTGATCTTGCTAGTTCCTTTCCTCCAAAGCTGATGTCTGGGCTTGTGTGTGCCAGCCATTGTGTCTTTTTGTGTCTTGCCAACAAGCCGCCTGTGCTGTTTGCGCCGTTCGTGGTCAAGAGTCATCGGCAGTACCCAGCTCAGGAGTATAAGAAGTAACAGGCGCCATCATTGGCACAGCGCAGCAACTCACAAAAGACAACAAACGGGTCAGTCTTATGACTGACAGCGGTGCGGCTACACATGTATGCCCACCATGGTTTGCAAAGGACCGCAATTGAGAATTGTGACCAGCCAACGCGTCAAGCCCTTCGGGTACAGATGGGTTTGCGCGACAAGCAGATTGTCACACCTGTGAGGTTAAACAGCCAATTCTTTCAGTTACATGGATGACAATCCAAGACTACAGCGCAACAAAGGATTCAACAGCGCCTGGAGAACAGAGATGGCCTGTTCTTCCTACAAGCAGAAGTCGCAGCATTACCACAAGGAACAAAGCTACAGACACACAGAACACGGCAAGGACAGATTGGCATGATAGCGCTGACAACAACACTTGCACCACAAGGCGCAGCAGGCGCAGGATATGCAGGAGACTACTGGCAGTTCAAAACAAAAGGTGAACTTGTCAGAGTACACAGTGCAGGAAGACGCTCTTCGCGCCAGCAAGAACACAGTGTCCAGTTGCAACAGAACAACTTGATCGCAGACAGATCTGGAAAGGAGAAACAGTTCTCAGGGTCAGGAAAGGCGCACCGCTGCCAGAGACACTACATGCAACAAAGACACGACCAAAGAGGGCGCCGCAGAAGGTCACACACACCACCAACATTTCAGGAGCCAGCAGCACCACACACCACCAAAAGTGCAGCTGGACAAGGGTTCGCACATCCTTCAAAAGACTACGGGTGCACAGAAGGCCCATACTGGAAGAGAGTACACATCCAGCCTGCAGAAACATGACGGGCCAGACATCAAGCGGCGTACGCCTTGGAGACAGACAAAGGTACAACCATTAGGAGACAAGAGCAGCATAAAGCTTGTAGAAGACTCATGGGCAACACAGCCAGCAAAGACACCAGAGCACTTTGACAGGCTGGGCAAACTTCGAGAAACAGCAGCAATTTGCCACACAACTCGAGCTACATAATGAGGAACAACAATAAGGCACAAAAGCAAAGGTAGTGCAAGCACCAAAGCAACCACAAGAAATACTGGAGCACAATGTGACACACCTTCCTTACAGGAGTTGGTTTCCAATATGTGTAAAAGAAAGAGGTAGACAGAACAACCACCCAAAGCAACACAGCAAGCTTTCAGTCACACAGCTCGACTTCGGCTACATCAAAGGCTGCGATAGCAACGTGCACCCAACCCTCGCAGCAATTGACAGCTGTCAGGAAGTCCTCCTGGTCTGACTGTATGTAGCACGCTGCGTGATGCTCTTCCACGTTCAAATGAGGAAGTGCTGTAGTTGCGCGACAGCGCAGTCGAAGAGCATCCTCTTGGATCATCCCAGATTGGACTTCCAAAACCCGAGCCAAGTCTTTTTTTAGGAATCTGGCTTGGCAAGGGCACAACCACAGGCGAAACTCGAAGCAGGCAGATGAGGCCTCACAAATTCAACCAACTACTGGACTGTGTGAACACAAGCCCATGGAAGACACTAGCATCAGCATCGCCTACACCGACTCTCCAACTCTGGCGGCAGCACCATCAACAAGCAAGGCGCCTACACCGCAGAAGGATGCAGCAACTTTTGCAGCAGCAGAAGGTAAGAGACAGAGCGCAGCGCAACAGAGTGAACAACAAGCAGAGCAGTTTACAACTGAGCCAAACATCACCAATGGCTACATCACCAACGCACCAGAACAGGCCAGCATTGCCAGCGCCGCCGCCTGCGTCACCCGCAAGAGAAAGACGTGACACACTTGCAGCAGGCAGCGCAGGCAAGCAACAATGCGCGACAGCAGAAAGACAAGCGCAACAGCAGAACAACGAACAGGCAAGATGAGAACCAATGCCATCAAATTTTCAACGAGCCAATCAATGAGGACACAAGACATTGAAAACGCAAGGATCCTACTAGAGCCCTGACACAGAAGGCTTGGTGCAACTCGCTTCACAAGGCATGAAGGAAGAAGTGCAATCAATGCAAGACCAAACGGTCTTTGCAGAGATTGATGGCAACAACATGACACCAGAACAACGAGCAAACATCATTGAGCCAAGGTGGGTTCTCAAACGGAGGCACAACGAAGTACAGGCGCGAGTTGTAGCGGAAGGTTACACAGAGTCCGCTACAGGCCACAACCTACTCTTTGCAGCACACCGTTGTTTTGCACACTGAGAGTACTTCGCGCAATGGCCTGAGTGTACAACTGGTCAGTCTGTGCAGGACATGTCAGTGTTGCGTTCCTACATGAAGCAGCATCTCCTACAACTTGCTAATGAGACCGCCGCAAGGGTTCTACAATGAAGCAAGCAGATACATCGTGCGGTGGCTGGACAAAGCCGTCTACGGCTTAAGATCATCACCAAAACAACGTGCGCAACTGAAAGCAAAATCTACAGATCAAAAGACTGCCTAGTCTACATCATGATCTATGTAGACGATCTCCTACTCTTAGGAGTACAGAGCATCATCCACACACTGTTTAGGAGGACGCAGAAAGAAGCACTGCTGAGATACACAGGCGACCTCAATGTAGCAGCAACAAGACATATTGCTTGGCAGGAACATGTCACGCCAAGGCAACTACATCAACATCAGCTTGAACAACAACTACGAGTCAGGAAGGGCTACGTACAACCCAGCACCATCGCCAGGAGTGTCACACATGAAAGGTACAGCAGAAGACGAAGCGCCGTGTTTTAGCGCTGGTTGTTGCCCTGCTGTCAGTGCGCCTGGCTGCGCCAGTCCTCTGTCCGGTCGCTGGTGTTGAAGTTGCCAGCGTCGCAGTTGTAGATCGCCACTCTGCATTGTTTGGCCATGCGTCCCGGCTGGCCACATCTGTAGCACACCTTTGTCGCAAGTTTCCCTTTTGCTCCTTTTCCTCCTTGTTGGTTGTCGATTTCCTTGCCCAACCGGTTGGTTGCACTGCTTGCCGTTTCCTTTGTAGTTGTTGTAGTGGCGGTTGGTCCCGTAGCCGCCATAGCCTTTGCCTTTGTTGCCCTTTGTTGTACCATGTTGCTCCTATGTCCAGCGGTGCTGGTCCGTGGTTGTTGTTGGCGCCTGGTGTGATTGCTTTTGGCCTGTTGGATGATGATGCTGCTCTGTAGTACTCTATCACCAGAGATGCGATGTTTCCTGCCTGCAACTGTAAGCGCTGCTGTAGCGCTCCTTTTGTCTCTTTGGGCAGTGTTTCAATCTTGACTGTGTTTGGTAGTAGTGTGTTGTTTTGTTCGTACTTGGAGAGTTGGAACTCCCATGTTCTGAAGCTCTCTTCGAACTTGTTTTTGCTCAAATGTAGCATAGGTTGTTGCTCAGTTGTATCCATTGCTCTGCCATCTGTTGTGAAGGCGCTGCGTTCTCGAGTTGGCCGTTTGCAACTTGTCCTGTTGATTGCTCTGTCTGTCTCAGCAGTCTGTTGCATGCGGCGTCTTGTAGTCCAAGGTATGCTGTCTGTCATCTTGCACTTCCATTCTTCGAAGGTGCTGCATTTTCCTGTGAATCGCGGTGGTGATGTCTTGTACTTGCGGGCTGCGTCAAGCTGCTGCTGTTGCTCTTGTTGTTGTTGGGGCCGCCGGTACTTGCGTGTTGTATGGAAAGGCCGCCAGATCTTTCCCAGGCGCGTAACTGTGTTCACTGCTCCGCTACCATGTTAAACTTGGAGCAACTGTGTAACTTGAATACCTGATGCGCAAACCTGTGTGTGAATCAAACCGGCAGTGTAGCTACGGGCGCGATGCTGTAGGCTCAATGCCTTGATCATATGTAGCAACTGCCAGATGTACGGCAAGCTGCACAAGGGTTGTCAAGGCATGTTGTATACCAACACATATGTGATGCATAGAAAAAAATGTATGATGGTTTGTCGACCACGTCTCAACTTCGCCTGGCCCAGGCGCATCGTGGGCTCCTGCAGGCGAGAGAGGTAGCCAATCGCTGTTGGATCTCTGTCACAAATGCAAAACGATATTCACAATCTGCATCGGACAAGTTGAGTGACAAATGCAATCAACCTTGTGTAAAGTTCAGGTGGTTCCTGTCAAGTTACTCTCCACATAAAGCACATTGATCCTCCCACATGTGCGTTCTTCACACACCAGCTTTGAAGGTCATCGAGGCATGCCATGACGAGGCCCCTGGACCATTTGTCAGCATGGCGAAGCGAAGCATGTGGCGCGGCACTGGCGGCAGGAAAGGAAGGATGCAAAGGACGCAGCAGGTGAGGGGTGAGCTTGGCACAAATGGCCCGCCAGTAGCCGTCTGTGTTTGTGGGGTTGTGCCCCACAAAAAAATCGGGGAGAGCACGGCGGCCAGCAAGGCAGGGGAACGCTGGGGATGCAGTAGTATGCTGATGGTGAGTAGGTCGAGGGTGCAGGGTGGAGCAGGGAAGATACCAATTGCCAACGGCCGCGCAGGGCGAGCGAGGCTATACAAAGCGGACACAGACTGGGGAGGGAGGGAGGGGGAATGAGGAGGAATCGAAAGGGGAGGCCCCCCCTCATTCGTGATGAAGAACCCTTACTTACGCGATCTGCCCATAGACTTGCTACAGCACAGAGTCAGCCAGCTACCCAACCTTTCGTGATCTCTGTTTCGCAATAGCGACTGCCACGGTGGTGCACTTGTAGTGGAAACATGCGCGCAATGATCCATGGATGCGCTTTCATAGTCAGCTCAACAAAACAAAACTTGAACAGCAGGATGACAGAGCAAGTGTATTGAATTCACAAACTGAAAGCCCTGCCCAAAATCACTAAGCTGTCAACACGCAGGAAGCCAGTGAAAGCCCCTGGATATATACCCGCACACTTTCGAGCTTACTCAAGTGCTCAGTTTTCAGGCAGGCATCGGCCCGCACAACTGCCCAAGTCATGGCTGCGAGTACTGGGTTGCACCCTCACGTTTGGTAACAAACAGCTTCAGATCTGCCCTCATTAATGCTTTACAAGTCTCCAAATGCTGTCCTTCTGATTGTAGCCGCATCCGGGACTCTGGGCCCAACGTTGACATGCTCCGCTCCTGTTGCGTCTGTTCAATTCTCAATGAGGAGATGGCAGGCACTGTCACATTCAACGCTCAAGTAGTCTGCGGAATCAATTGCTGGCTACACGTCCCTGAGGCACGAGCACATGGTATCGAATACTCGCCCTGAGAAGCGTCGTACTTCTGATTTTCTATGCTCTGCCCTGTGGCTAGTTGGAAACGCATCCAGCAAGTTTGTGCGTCTAGTGCAATTCGATCTGAGCTTCGGCTGCCATTTTGTATGCGAATTCCAGTTTGCGCTGCCATCGCTCCAATGGAAATGTACATCCTCAGATATCCACAGCGTACAATTCCAACATGGTGCCGTCTCATAAAGCACCGTGCATGGGCGAAGTGGTAGTGCTACTCTAGCACGCATTGAGGAGACACGCAGATCTGTCAACTTTCAGAGCTCAGTGCACTGTCCAAAGCTAAGTGGTGAACGAACAGCTGCTTCTGCCATGCCTTGCCCAGGCAAGAACATGTGCGCAGAAATTGCGTGTTTCCAAAACATGCTTATTTGCAGACTCGCCGCATTGCAACTGATCCTCTGACGCACTCATTGCATGTGACCTGAGTCAAAAGACAAGCAAGCTTTAAATACAACCAACACTCTCTGTCGGCACACAGAGATTTCAGCTCAAAGGGATGCTTCATTGATGCGTGCATCGCATAGGTGCCCATAAACACCCGTCTGGCAAGCTTGCACCTTTTCGAAGGTGTCGCACTCACTTGACACTCCGTAGCTTTGGGTGAGGCCAATAGATGCTCGTTTGTTCAGCGTGTCGCGTCATTGACACGGGCAGCTCGCTGCTCTTTTAGGCAGAGGCGTTCCTGCGCAAAGACTGTGCACTTTGGGCGAATGCGCCACGACGACCTCTTGGGCTGTGCCAGATGCTTGCGGCCACATGGGCACTTGAATTGGATAGGGTTCAGCGCTGCTGAGTTCTGGTTAAGTTAGAGGTTGAGTTTAGGGTTGAGTTAGGTGAGAGGTTTGGTTTGGGCTGGGTAAGACTGCTTTGAAAGCTGCTTTAGGATGGGATTCGGCTTGTCCGGAGGGGCTTCCGCAGGCCAAAAGTCAGCCAAGAAGTCGAAGGCCCAGAAGCCAAACAGCACAAGATCAAGCGTCGAGAAGCCAAGAAGCCAAACGAATAGAGTCAACAGCCGAGAGCCAAAGCGCGCAGCCTGGAATCCAAGAACGTGGCAAATTCACAAAAGCAAAACAAACAAAACAAAGCCTTTGTTTTAAAATCAGGGAACGCCGAGCTGTTGCCAAGGGGGCAGGGCAGCCACACAGTGCGCAAGCCAAGACTTCACACTCACGCACGCAGCCACACACGCAGCGACGCACAAACGTATATAAGCACGCACGCACGCAGGCACGCAGGCTTGCAATCACGCATGCACTCACTCACTTAGTATCTGTCTTTTTCCCTCACAACTCAAGAAATGAATATGGTTTGCCTAAAACGGAGCAATCCATCAAGTTCGCAGTTGTTCATCTGGAAAAATAAGCATCGAATAAGCATCAAATAAGCACCAAATAATGATTTGGTCGCATATATGCAGCGATTTGGCTCCACATACAAACATTAGCAAAAATATGCATCCAATAAGCATCAAAGAAGCACCAAATAAGGATTTTGCTGCATATATGCCTTCAAATACAAACATTGGGAAATTACAGTCATGCTCAGCTCAAAACCCCAAACAAGGCGAGAGAGAGAGAGAGAGAGAGAGGAAGTGAGAAAGAATTGAAGAAGAAGAAGGAAGAAGGAAAGAAACAGAAAGGAGACAAAGTCCACCATGCATGTCATCTCCAAACGTGGCGCCAACGTTCAAAAGGATGCGGAGCTGGTCGCAGCAGAAAATGCGACATGAGCAAGCAATGCTTCTTGAACGAATCAGCGACTCTGCCAAGCGGTTCAACACTCAAGGCAACACATTGGCCTATGCGGGACTAGATGAACAGCACACTCCAAGCCAAGCTTGAATACATTTGAAATCAGCTTAGGTCACGGCACTGCTGAGCGCAGCTCGCGTCTCAAGCGGCTCAAATTCTCACGATTCTGCGCCAGGAAGTAGAAGCCAGGCACCTCCCAAAGTCAAGGGGAACGTCTCAAACACGTGCAACCGCCAAACGCCTTGCCCAGTCCGCCAGCTTGGGCGCCAACCTCAAGCTGCCCTTGCGGGCTCTAGTCTGAGATGGCAATAAGTTCAACACACTAAGCAGGTGGCGAGCAAAGCTCCGTGCCAGGCAAACTCGACATCGACGTAGCCAAATGGCCTGCAAGTCATTGAATAACAAACCCCGGTTCTTGCTCGCATCTTGAACTTGTTCTGCCCAAAGTAATTCTGGAGAAACCAACTGAGAGCGTTGCTCATCTCGGGAAGGCATGAGGCAAAAATCCGCACCTGGGCATACGCGTGCCATGTCTGACCCCGAATGCAAAAAATGGCCTTGGGAATGTGCGTTTCGTCAACTCGAACAATGCTGTCCAGCTGGAGCCATGTTTTGAGCGACGCTTTTGAGCTTCTGACCGACCGTTCAACCGACACCTTTAAATATTATTCAACGCAACACTCGCTTCTGAGCAAGAGCTTGAGCAAGGGCGACACTTCTGAAAACACTTACAAGCGGTATTTCGAATTACGCTCCTAAACGACACCTCTGATTGACAAATCTAAGCGTCAAGCGCCAATCCTGAAGCCATAATTCCGAGAGACAAACTACGGCAAGCTGAGCGACACCTCTACACACAAATAAGCGACACTTCTGAGCAACACTTCAAGCGACACTTTTACACTTTACACACACACACACATACACGTAAGCGACGCTTCTGAGCGACATTCCTGACAGTTCGGGCAACATTTCTACACACAGATCTGTGAGCGACACCTCTGAGCAACACTTCTGAGCGATACTCCTGAGCGACGCTGCGGACCACACCTCTGAGCGACAACTCTGAGCCACATGCACTTCTACACGCGCATTAGCAACACTCCTGGGCCACACTCCTAAGCGACGATTCGAGCGACAATTCCACACACACACACATATCTGAGCGACACCTCTGAGCGATACTGAAGCTGCTGAGCGATACTGCGGAGCAACACCTCTGAGCGACACTTCTGAGCGACACTTCTGAGCGACACTGCTGAGCAACACCTCTGAGCGACACTTCTGATCGAACTTCTGATCAACACTTCTGAACAACACTTCTGATGGAACACATCTGATCGACACTGCTGATCGACACTCTGAGCGACACTTCTGAGCAAAACTTCTACACACACATAATAAGCGACACTCTGAGCGACACTTCTGGGCAACACTTCTCAGCAACGCGACACTTCTGAGCAAAACTTCTGAACAACACTTCTGAGCAACACTCACTGCTGACCGACACTTCTGAGCAGCACTGAGCATCACTTCTCACCGGCACTGCTGATCGACCCTTCTGATCAACACCTCTGATCGACGCTTCTGATCGACACTTCTGACAACACGTCTGAGCGACACTTCTGAGCCACGCTTCTACACACACATAAGCGACACTCTGAGCGACACTTCTGAGCAAACTTCTCAGCGACGCGACACTTCTGACATCGACACCTGAGCGACACTTCTCAGTCACTGCTGACCGACACTTCTGAGAAACACTTCTGAGCAACGGTTCTGATCGACACTTCTGCGCAACAACTCTGAGCAACACTTCTGAGCGACGCTGCTGAGCGACACTTCTGATCGAAACTTCTGAGCAACATTGTGAGCAACATTTCTGATCAACAGTTCTGATCGACGCGACACTTCTGAGCAACACTTTTGGTTGACACTTCTGAGAAACACTTCTGATCGACACTTCTGAGCGACACTGCTGAGAAAAATTTCGGATCGACACCGCTGATCGACACTGCTGTTCGACACTTCTGATCGACACCTGCGCGTCGACACATCTGATCGACTCTCGACGCGACGCTTCTTAGCAACATTTCTGATCGACACGTCTGCTCGACACTTCGATGAGAAACACTGCTGATCGACATTTCTGACCGACACTTCTGAGCAAAACTTCTGATCAACACTTCTGATCGACACTTCTGAGCAACGCTTCTATTTGACACTTCTGAGCCACACTTCTGAGCGATGCGACACTTCTGAGCAAGACTTCTGAGCAACACTTCTGATCGATACTGCTGATCGACACTTCAGATTAACACTTCTGACCGACGCGACACTTCTGAGCAACACTTCTGAGTCTGATCGACACTTCTGATCAAAACTTCTGAGAAATGCTTGTCATGTCTCTTGCCACACGTCTTGTCTTCATGAACACTACTGAACGGCACTTCTGCTCGAAACTTGCGACCGACACTTCCGATCGACACTTCTGAACAACACTTCAGATTGACAGTTCAGGTTGGCACTTCTGATTGTCTCTCTCTCTCTCTCTCCACTCTCTTCAACCTCTCTCTCTCTCTCTCTCTCTCTCGGTACTTCTCTTATCGACACTTCTGAACAACACTTCTGATCAACACGTCTGAGCTGCACTTCTGAGCCACACTTCTGATGGACACTTCTGATGGACACTTCTGATCGACAATTCTGAAAGACACTTCTGGTCGACACTTCTGATCGACACTTCTGATCGACACTTCTGAACGACACTTCTGAACGACACTTCCGACTTACACTTCTGAAGGATGGATACTTCTGACGCACACTTCTGAGCGACGCTTCTGAACTACACTTCTGACAGCATCCCTGAGCGACACTTCTGGGCCACACCTCTACACACACGTAATCGAAACTCTGACCGACACTTCTGAGCAACACTTCTGCGCAACGCTTCTGAGCAACACTTCTGATCGACAGTTCTGATCGACACGTCTGATCGACACTTCTGAGCAACACTTCTGATTGAGACTTCTGAGGGGCAACTCTGAGCAACACCTCTTCTGATCGACACGTCTGACTGACACTTCTGAGCAACACTTCTGATTGACAGTTTTGAACAACGCTTCTGGTCGACACTTCTGAGCGACAACTCTGAGCAACACCTCTGATCAACACCGCTGATCGACCCTGCTGTTTGACACTTCTGATCGACACTTGCGCTCGACACATCCAATCGACTCTTCTGAGCAGCACTTCCGAGCAACGCGACGCTTCTTAGCAACGTTTCTGATCGACACGTCTGCTCGACACGTCTGATCGATGAGAAACACTGCTGATCGAACACTTCTGAGTCTGATCGACACTTCTGATCGACACTTCTGAGAAATGCAGCTTGTACGTGTCTTGTCTTCATGAACACTACTGAACGGCACTTCTGGTCGAAACTTGTGACCGACACTTTCAGATGACACTTCCGATCGTCTCTCTCTCTCTCTCTCTCTCTCTCTTCACTCTCTTCACGCTCTCTCTCTCTCTCTCTCTCTCGGCACTTCTCTTGACACTTCTGAGCAACACTTCTGATCGACACTTCTGAGCCACACTTCTGATGGACACATCTGATGGACACTTCTGATCGACAATTCTGAACGACACTTCTGGTCGACACTTCTGATCGACACTTCTGAACGACGCTGCTGATCGACACTTCTGATCAACACTTCTGAACGACACTGCTGAATGATGGATACTTCTGACGCACACTTCTGAGCGACACTTCTGAACTACACTTCTGACAGCATCTGTGAGCGACGCTTCTGAGCCGCACTTCTGACCAAACTTCTGTGCAACACTTCTGAGCAACACTCCTTATCGACACTGCTCAACGACACTCTGAGAGACACTGCCGAGCAACGCTCTGCTGACCAACACTTCTGAGCAACACTTCTGCGCAACACTTCTGAGCAACACTTCTGATCGACAGTTCTGATCGACACGTCTGATTGACACTTCTGAGCAACACTTCTGCTTGACACTTCTGAGGGACAACTCTGAGCCACACCTCTGTTCTGATCGACACGTCTGATTGACACTTCTGAGCAATACTTCTGATTGACACTTTTGAGCAACGCTCTGATCGACACTTCTGAGCAACAATTCTGAGCAACACCTCTGATCAACACTGCTGATCGACACTGCTGGTCGACACTTCTGATCGACACTTGTGCTCGAAACATCTGATCGACTCTTCTGAGCACCACTTCCGAGCGACGCGACGCTTCTTAGCAACATTTGTGATCGACACGTCTGCTCGACACTTCTGATCAAGGAGAAACACTGCTGATCGACATTTCTGAGCAACACTTCTGATCGACACTTCTGAGCAACGCTTCTATTTGACACTTCTGAGCCACACTTCTGAGCCACACTTCGGAGCGATGCGACACTTCTGAGCAAGACTTCTGAGCAACACTTCTGAGCAAAACTTCTGATCGACACTTCTGATCGACACTTCTGAGCGAACTTCCGAGCGACGCGACACTTCTGAGCAACACTTCTGAGTCTGATCGACACTTCTGATCGAAACTTCTGAGAAATGCAGCTTGTCACGTCTCTTGCCACGTGTCTTGTCTTCATGAACACTATAGATCGAAACTTGCGACCGACACTTCTGATCGACACTTCTGAACAACACTTCAGATTGACACTTCAGATTGACACTTCTGATCGTCTCTCGCTCTCTCTCTCTCTCTCTCTCTCTCTGTCCCTTCACTCTCTTCACGCTCTCTCTCTCTCTTCACTCTCTTCACGCTCTCTCTCTCTCTCTCTCTCTCTCTCGACACTTCTCTTATCGACACTTCTGAGCAACACTGTTGATCGACACTTTTGAGCCACACTTCTGATCGACGCTTCTGATCGACACTTCTGATCGACAATTCTGAACGACACTTCTGACTTACACTTCGCAAAGACACTTCTGAACGACACTTCTGAACGACACTTCTGAACGACACCTCGAACCGACACTTCTGATCGACACTTCTGATCAACACTTCTGAACGACACTTCTGTCTCCAAATGCGCACCGCGCCACAGCGAGAGCCATTCGACCCGCCCCTGCTGCGCCCCTGCTGCACTACCCCCCCAAAGCTGACTAAGCTGACTCGCGCCCGCTGCACTACCCCCCAAAGCTGACTAAGCTGACTCGCGCCCCTGCGCCCCTGCTGCACTACCCTCCCAAAGCTGACTAAGCTGACTCGCGCCCCTGCCCCTACCCCGCCCTTGTTGCACCCCTGCCGCGCTACCCCCCCAAAGCTGACTAAGCTGACTCGCGCCCCTGCTGCCCTGCTGCGCTACCCCCCCAAAGCTGACTAAGCTGGCTCGCGCCCCTGCTGCGCCCTGCACTACCCCCCCAAAGCTGACTAAGCTGACTGGCGCCCGTGCTGCGCCCCTGCTGCACTACCCCCCCCAAAGCTGACTAGGCTGACTCGCGCCCCTGCTGCGCCCCTGCTGCGCTAGCCCCCCCCCAAAGCTGACTAAGCTGACTCTCGCCCCTGCACATCGAAAAGCACCTCTGGTCAAAATGCGCGCCGCACCACAGCGAGAGCGGTTCGACCCACCCAAAGTGCGCAGGGGGTTCACTTGGAGTTCTCAAAATGCGCACCACGTTGCAGCGAGAGCGATCTCGCTCAGTCAAAGTGAGGTGCCTACCACGAAATCTGCACCCAGGCGCCAAAGTACTGCGCCTGCCACGAAATTTGCACGAAAGACTCCAAAGCGCCGTGCCTGCCACGAAATTCAACCAAGACGCTCGAAAGCGCTGCGCCTGCCACGCAAAGCAAGCTTGCCACGAACTCAAAATCATCCAAACTGCTGCACCTGCAACGAAATCCAACTTTGACACGTTTACAACACACGTCCAAAACTAGCACGGGACTGTGGCGCCAGAATGATATCAACCAATTTTGACACGTTTCAAGCTTGCCAGAACGAGCCGATTGTACGACAGGGCCAACGAAAAGGACGCCGGCGCAAACACTACGCGCCTGCCAAGCAGGACACCTCAAAACGACCACCCCCTGAACGCAAATCCTGGCAACGAGAACGCGCAGCCTTCCAAAACACTGCGCCTGCGCAGCGACACAACACGCAACGCTGCAAAAGACACGGTTCACGTGCGGGCACAACGAATTCAGCGCTTCAGGACTCATCGAAAAAGTCACTTTTGGCGACAATCCCAAATGGCACGACAACTTTTTCCACACACGGACGCTCGCGGACGCTTTCGGACGCTTGCGGACGCTTTCGGCCACACGCGAGCCGACCAGCGACTTACCCCCAGACCCCACTTAAAAAACGGGAACCCTTCGCTACGCATTCGGGAATATATTCCACAGCCAAGGGAGCGGGCAGGGTCGGAGAGCTCATTTTGGGCGATACATACGGACGTCGAAGGGTTCACTTTTTGGGCGGATCGCTTTCTTCAGTGCCTCGCTATTCCCGAAAGCATCGCCGAGGGCTCTTCCGTGCAGAGCTTGTGGACTAACTTGCACAGAGCAGCTTGTGCAGAGCAACTTGCTCAGAGCCATCTGCGCAGAGCCACTTGCGCAGAGTCACTTGCCCAGAGTCACATGAAAGCACAGAGCCAGTTGCACAGAGCCAGTTGAACAGAACCGTCTGCGCGGAGATACTTACACAGAAACTTGCACGAAACCATCTGCGGCAAGCTACTTGCGCAGAGCAACTTGTGCACAGCCAAATGCATGAAAGCAGTAGTATCGAGTAGTCTGGGAAGAATCTGGGTGTGAACAGACTCCGTAGAAAAGTCTTGGCAAAGCGCTTGGGTGTGAAAAGTCGGGCACTTTAGGTAGGGTTCTTGGGCTCGGCGTTAGCAGCTATGAGATTAAGTTTCGATTGGAAAAGATTCTTAGCGCGCATGAAAGAGCTCGGTAATAAGATTCCTCTTTTAAGGCGGGGGGGTGGGGTTGTTGTCATCGCACGGGATTGCGACCCTCTGCGGGGATCGACGTGGTCGATGTCAAAAACTGCAGACGTGTTGCGATTTTGCGGCACGCATGATCGGCATGGTCGAAGCGAAAAAACTGCAGACTTGTTCGACTTCTCATTAACGCTCGCGAGAAAGCTCGGTACTAAGATTATTCTATTTTGGCGGGGGGGGTGGGCTTGTTGTCGCCCTAAGCTGACATTTGTTGGTCAAGTGGTTATTATGCCTGTCAAGAGCCCCTCACACAAATATGGGTTGATGTGGTGACACGACACATTTGTCCCACCCGCTTCACCTTCACAAAACATGAGCTTTCCACGTGTTTCATCAAGAAGTATGTCGTGTCATTAAAGTAGAGATCTAGAGGACGAACGGCCCGCAAGCATGCTTTGAGCACGAATCGAACCAAGGCAACCAAATCAGAGAGGCAGCCTTCAATTCGAACCCCACACCCTAAACCCAAGGCTCCGAGTTGCACTGCAGCATAGCAACTGGAAAGCAGACTCTTCGTACGCCGGCTGAGACACACTTTCTACATGTGTTGCGCAGCTGCGAGTTTTTGCTCTCATTCTTGAAAACCGTACTTGGTTTGTTCTATCAGTTTTGAGCTGGCTTGAGCCTGCGCAGCTTGAGGCGGCCACCCAACTTCATCTCCTTGAGGGCAGCAGGATCGCGCCTGGAAGCCATGCAACTTTGCACTGTTTGCACTTTGCATGAAGACTGTGAGCGCTGTGATTCGGATGTAAGGTGAGGACATGAACTGGATGTTGACGTACAAGCGACGCTGGCTATTGTCCGGGAGCTGCTGAAGCTGCTGCTGGAGCTGCTCCAACTTGGTCGCAGCATAGTGGCCGAAACCATCTCCAACTGGACCCACAAGAATAAGTTGCGCATCCGCATAGCTGGAGAGCAGCCAGCCGGCAACATCAGCTATGAGATCAACTCCTTTCTGTCGTACCAGCCGGCCCAGGGATACAAAAAGCCTCGCATTGGGGTTCTCCTCAAGTCCGAATCTTCTTTGAAGTCTCTGCTTTGCCTCAGCCTTGGCATCCGCCAAGCTACCTGTGATGACAACTCTTTCCTCTTCGAGCATGGGGTTGTCCAGTCCATGAACTGCTGGTAAGTGCCAAAGAACGCCATAGGCAGAGTGGCACTCTGCCGCATACCACTGAGATACAGCACAGGCACCCTCACCATTCTGCCTCTCGAGAATGAAATCGACGGCTGCTTTCAGCATGTTGAATCGGCCATCCAATACCAGGTGATCTTTGACCATTTGGACGGGCAGATTGAACACCGATGCGATGGCAGCTAGGGTGTGCCCATAGATCATATCAGTGCTAATTGTGCCTTGATACTCAGCATTGTGGAGTACCAACAGAATTCGCAGGTCAGGATGTTCAGGTAAGGCATACCATGGGGCAATGGCAGTGTGAAAATCTGGACAGTGAAATACTCGTGGCTTGTGCCTTGCTAAAAGTGCACCCACTGCCTGATTCCACAATGAGAAGAATGTCAGAACCGCCTTGCGAGACATTGGATTCGGATAGATTCCTTAGCATTTGCACAAGCATAGCATCATGGCAGCTCGAAACAACAAACACGTTCAGTCCCAGGTGCCATCCAACGTTCGTGCCTCAAAGATCTCATGAGACAGCCTTGGCTTCGCTTCAAGACTCAACACGACATGGAGCCCTGAAGAACTCCGGACAAGAGGCATTAAAAACTCCACGCGTACCTGTTGGCATTGCTCTTCCCGTGGAGGAGAAGCAAAACGAAAAACCCGTATATCGTGTCGCTGGCCATCCACCACCAAGCGCAGGGATGGCTGTTCATCGATGGGATTGCCGTATTCCAGCTTGCCCTCCACTTCTGCAAGCATCGGATGCACCAAAAGGATGTCTGAGGGGTGCTTTCTGACAATCAAATCAACCACTTTCCCCAGACCTCCTGCAGTCGCACGGCCTGTAGCCAAGTGTGGCAATGAGTGTTCGAGAGAAGCCATCATGATTGGAAAGTAGCCGGGCGGGTCATGCACTGTAGTCAGGCCAGGCAGATTCTGCTCGCGCGGCATTTCGCTCCCGGATCCAGTAGCAGCAATTTGGCTGCCGCTTTCGTTGGTGTAGGTGTCTTGGACTGTTAATCTTCTTCGGGTCAGCAAGAAGTCAAGAAGCCAATAAAGAAGCACTGGAAGAGGCCAAAGCAGTGTCAAGATTATGGAATAAACGGGCACTGGTGGGCCAAATGTACCTGGCAATTCTGGCTCATCCGGCCAGCCATCTCCTCCAAGCAGAAAGCCCTCTGCAACCATTGCAATAGGACAGAAATTGCCCACGGTAATTGTGCTGTTGTCAAGTAAACTCAACTCGTCGCTCAAAAAGCAGGCAAAAAGAAGAGCGTTGCAGAGCTCCCTGCAACGCAGCACTCAACTACGCAAGGCTAGGCAAATAACAGTATCTACACTTCATAGCTTGAACCTGTCTAAGTCAAGACTGGAGCAATTGTTGTCGTCAAGTTCCCAATAAGCACAAGCCTCCAAACCTAGCATGTGTTGTTCCAACTCTGCTGGTACATCCAGATTCCCTAATCACGGCTTTGTCAATGGGCCGTCCTCGATCAGGATGGCAAAGCTCATTGACCTATTTACAGCGACCTGCTGAGATGCAGATTAAATGAAAGCACTTTCACAAGGAGGTAGCTTTCACAACCAGGTAGGAACGCGTGCATCAACAGCAGCTCTTTGAGTATGCTGTACAAGCATGCGAGATCTAGTGTGTCTCTAGATTCTGGTACGTTCCTGGATCCCGCACGCTTTACCCCGTCATCGTGACTGCGATGTCCAAGAATCTCTGAAACTTTGACTGGGTGTGCGGACAATATCAATGAAAGACTTGCCAACGCGACTGCAAAATAAGTCCGAGACGAATTCGGATAAAATACTTGTTGTGGCATAGGCTGTGCAGGAGCCCTGACCAGGCCACATGACACAAATGGCCATGCAACTTCCTGCCTGAAGCGCCCGCATCCCACAAAGCAAGGCACCAACATACCTGTTCAAGGCCAACGGGGCAACTACACACAATCCAAGGTAGCATGGGTAGCTTAGACTCACACCTATGGCCAGCGTCCCCAAGAAGAGGTAGAAATTCGTCACAACGGTTGCAGCATCGTGGGCCAGGTCCTTTCTTCGTCCATTAATTGATGCCAACAAATGTCAGATCACACCAGTCCTTGTTGTACCAATCTTCAAACACCTCAACAGGCGCAACCCAAGCGTAAACTGGCCGCAAACGCTGCCTACACCAAAAGCCGTGCCTGATTCTGCATACTATGCGTCATTCGTGCACCTGTGCCTGCAGGCATCTGTCAATGCGTTTCATTGTGTTGCCATGTGTCTTTCACGTACCTGGCCTGATCGAGACAAGCAATGCAGCAGGTTCTTTTTCGAGTTGCTCTTGTGAATCCAGGGGACCTAAGCATGCACTTGGCAATGCAACTTGGGCACGAAACATATCAAAGGGCTCCTGGGAGGCTTGGTAGGTTCGCAAGTTTTTGCAGCTGAGAATTCGTCCGGAGCTTTACCGAGGTAAGACGTCTGTAAAGAGGCTTCCGCAACTTATGCAAGAAGCCTTCTCTGCAAAACGCTGGCATACAAGTGCATACTGTGGCCAATCTGGGAGATCGCCCCGCAAGCAGCTCTGTCACACAAGCCTTCGCACAAGCAATTGTAAGCCTTCAGCCCTGTTGAACAAGCAAATGTAGCCGCAATTCTTCTCGGCCTCATCCACCAAAAATACAGATAGAGTTCTATTCTGCCACGACGCTCATGTGAGGTTTCAAAGCCGTAAGGAGAGCACAGCATGATTCTCCCGCAATGCACAACGCGTTGCTTCGTCTGAATGCACCTGGATGTACCATACTCACCAAGCCAGTCGATTTCAAGTTGCCTTCCAGAGCTCCACGTTCTTTTGTCTGATGAAGATGAAGCCCTCCTCCAGGGCCGAATCCAGACCTGAGGCAACGCAACGCAACGCAAGTTTTGACCATGGTTTGACCAGCTTGCACATGCATCTGCTTCCGTAGCCGAGGGCGCAGCTTCTCAGAGCTCCACGATAAGCATCAGTATCCTGTGCAGAAAGAGCACAGCGCGCATTCACAGAAACACAAACGCAATCTGGATTCTGCCTGCAAATCACGGCCTCACAGGCATTCACTAAGCACAACTCAAATCCAAATATCCCAACATCTAGGGATCAGGGCCCTGCTCATCGAGCAGTTCTCGTATGCTTGCCGCAATATGCCTTCACTCGGGCAAACTGCGAACAAAGCCGAGCAGTTATAAAGCAGAACTCGAATGCGTTGTGCGGTTAAGTATTGCTAGTCCCCTCTTCTGTTTGCTTGGCTGCTGATTGCTCTTTGCTTACCCCTTTCCTCCTTTCCTCCTTGACCTCTGCTCCTCCTTTCGTCCTTTCCCCACCTCCTCCTTTCGTCCTTTCCCCACCTCCTCCTTTTCTTCCTTCTCGCTTCCTGCCACGTTCTTTACCCACTTCCTTGCCTTCCTTCTATTCTTTCCCTTGACTTACTTCAATTTCCTTACTTCCTTTCTCCATTCTTTGTTTGTGTCTCTTCTTTATCTCCGTCTGTCTTTCTGTATGTCTCTCTTTCTTTCCTTCCTTACTTTCTGAATGTAGTCTGTTCTTGCGTTTTCTCTTACTTACTTTCTTTTTTCTCTATGTACTCCTCTCTTTCTGTCCGTGTTTCTGTATTTGGTATTATTGTTTATGTTATTCTCTTTATTGCTTTATTTCCTTCTTTCTCTCTTTCTCTCTTTCTCTCTGTCTTCCTTTCGTTCCTTTCCTTTCTTTTCATGTCTTCTATCTTTCGTACTTTCTTTCTTTCCGTCTCAAATTATTTATTTATTTCGGTCTTCCTTATTTCCCTTTCTTGTCTTTTATGTTGTTTTCTTTTATTCTTTCTTTCTGACTTGTCTTTCCTTGTTTTGTTTCTTTCTTTATTTCTTTTGTTTCTTTCTTCCTGGTCTGTCTTTCTGTCTTTCTGTCTTTCTGTCTTTCTGTCTTTCTGTCTTTCTGTCTTTCTGTCTTTCTGTCTTTCTGTCTTTCCCTCTCTTCCCTCTCTTCCCTCTCTTCCCTCTCTTCCCTCTCTTCCCTCTCTTCCCTCTCTTCCCTCGCTTCCCTCGCTTCCCTCTCTTCCCTCTCTTCCCTCTCTTCCCCTTCTTCCCCTTCTTCCCCTTCTTCCCCTTCTTCCTCTTCTTCCCCTTCTTCCCCTTCTTCCCCTTCTTCCCCTTCTTCCCCTTCTTCCCCTTCTTCCCCTTCTTCCTTCGTCCTTCTTCCTTCTTCCTTCTTCCTTCTTCCTTCTTCTTCCTCTTTCTCCACTCCTGCTCCTACCCTCCTCCTCTCCTCCCCTCCTCCTCCTCCTTCTCATCCTTCTTCTTCTCCTTCTTCTCCTCCTCCTTCTCTTTCTCAACGTCCTTCTCCTTCTCCTTCTTCTTTCTCTTTCTCATGATTATGCTCATTGTTGTTCTGTGTGTTCTTTGACGTCTCCCTCATCCTCATCTCATGCGCCGTATTCGTCACATGTGTCTTGTTCATCTTCATGTTTGTCTGTCGTGTTGCCGCTTATCATATTGCCTGTGCCCTTCCTTGTCAGTTTGTGTCTTATTGTTTATTGTGTGTGTTTCTTTGCTATTTAATCACTATGCGTGCCTCCGCGTTAAGACCGCCTTGATCACATAACTAAAGTACCTGTACAAATTAACAATTAATGAACGCCGGCAAGCGGGGGATTTTGCAAAGAGCCAGCGCAGAAAGCAACATTATGCGTCAGAAACAGTAGGAACATCAAAACCACAAGACCACTACAAATAGTAGCATAACTTGCTGCTAATTATAGTATGTCTTACAGTGCTATGAGAACGACAATACCAATGATAGGTCAGTAGCTATTATTTAATCAAACATACATTGTGATTACTACTACTACTACTACTACTGCTACTGCTACTACTACTACTACTACTACTACTACTGCTACTGCTGCTACTGCTACTGCTACTGCTACTGCTACTACTGCTACTGCTACTGCTACTGCTACTGCTACTGCTACTGCTACTGCTACTACTACGACTGCTACTGACAATATGATACTATCAGCAATAACAACCACAACAACTATGATTCATAGTAATGACAGCAACAGTAATGATAAGTAGGAACATTTAATCAGGAACGATGAAGCATACACATACAGAGTAAGAAGCCGATGTATACTCAGAACGACAAATAGTCGGATGATAATGATAATGATTGCAGTGATCACAAGAGCAGGAATCACAACCTACGCCCTGGAGGCTGCCACGATGCAAGATTCTGACTGCGCGGGCAAGCAGCTCTGGGCCTGTGCTCTGCTGCAAGGTCCGTTTCGGAGACCTGTCATACTTCATGGTGTCATATGAATAACATGGCAGAAACATGACAGAAAGGCTGGCATGGCCATGTTGGTCTTCCGGGTCTTGTAGGAGCTAACACATCTCTCCAGGGCCTTACAGCTAAGTGGACTCTTACTCAAACGGCAAAGAGGCTTCTGAGAACAGCACAGATCTGAAATGCGCGCTCAAACGCTGGTCGTTTGCTGCGGCAAACCTGACAGCCCAAATCCAGCGTATGTTCGTCAATCAGCGCAAGCAAACTTGATGGCCTGGCCATTTTGTTCTCGTATGTCTCAGTCTGGACAAGAGCCTTGTGCCTGAGTCACACGCCACCCTGAGGTGCTAATTTGTCACAGAGGGTGCCAAAAGAACACTGTATCTAAGCAGCTCGTGCACGTTCACAAAAGAATACTGGATGAAAAGAACGCCACCTTTGACAACAATACAACTCTCAACTCAGATCAAGGCGTCTTGTGGTGGTTCAACAGCTTCATCCTTGCTTGCAATCATGTAAGCCGTATACCAAAATGATCGAGGGAGCCCAAGCCGCGGGCCACTTGTGACCGGCCAACTTGTCATCAAACGCTTGCCAACAGCGGGACTGGACCACGGACTGCATTTCCTGCAAGTGCTGTTTGACTGGATACTTGGACACTCAGGTGCTCAAGCAATCCACTCAATTCAGTGTATGAGGTGGAGGTCGTCGAAATTAGCACTGACTTTAAAGGTCGAAATTAGCACTGACTTTAAAGTTCGCCTTTAAAGGTGGCACCCAGAATCGTCCCTCGTTTTGTCAACCTCAGATATGTGGACTGTGTTGAAATATGTCCTTCTCAACTGGGAAGGGACGCAGTTTTATTTTGGCA